AAATGGAAGGTATCTACCAACTGCAATTTATTGCATGGATTCCTGGGATCAGTTGGCTATCTGGCTGAAGACATTTATGGAGTACAAATACCAATGGGGGTTTTATTGGTGGTATCAGGGGATACTGCTCCATTCTGGTGTACATTCACCGAGCAACAAGCTTTTGAACTAGTAAAATCCTATGTCACTGTCTGCCAGAAGCACTGTAGAGTACCATTGAAGTACGGACCACAGGAGAACCCCATTTGGATGATGACTGATGATTGCTTGAAAGGGGTGTTAGACAATGAAAGACTTGGCGCAATGTATCTATCACAGCCTTCTATTCTGCCAAACTAAGCGCAACACAATAAAACTAGTGCACAAAAATGAACTTCTTGCAGGTGTTGAAACCATGCTGCGGTTCTGGGACATCCTTCAAGGGGCCCCTTTTACATGGTTGACTGACCACAAAGGATTGATTCATGTACTAAACCAGAAGAACTTGTCAGGAAGACAGGCCCAATGGATAAAAAGAATTGGGGAATTTGACTTTACAGTGGAATATGTCCCTGGTGGACATAATATATCACCAGACACCTTGTCAAGGCTCTACTCCTTTGATGTGCCTGGGACCAGACAAGCACATAGTGAATATACGGTATTTGATGAGAACAGGTAAAACCCTAACAGAGGCCCAACAGTGAAGAGTATGCCAGTCTTGGTCGGATTGGAAGTGATGGCAGTTACTACACGGACCAAAGCCCGTTCTATGGCAGAAACAGAGCTGGACCAATTGCCAAAAAAAAAGCACCCAGCAAGTTACAAATACTCAACTAGGTAACGACTTAGCAACCACAGCATCCCAAAGTGGCTTCCAAATTCACAAAACGAATGAAGCATAAATTTGTGCTCAAGGGACCTAAGCCCTGAATGGAAAGGGGAGGCAGCGGAGCAATCCCTGAGACGCCAGAAGCAGTACATCAGAAAGGAATGGAGAGTGTACCTGAGGAAACACTTCCGGACCATCCCTTTAATGTACAAATCCTGCCTTTGCTAGCGGAAGAAGATGCATTAATCTGCAAAATAAGGAATAAGTATCACTTGGACAGATTCTATAAGCAGATCTTAGACACCTAATAACTACAAGAACTTTGTATATGACAAGGGCTTCATCCATCCAAAAAACAAGACTCAATTGGTCTTATGCATACCACGGATCCTTATAAATGGAAGAAGTGTTATGACACACAATTTCTGGACCTTTAAATTTCATTCTCCACTTTAACTTTCTCACACACTGTGCCATGTGGCACTTTCTATTTTGTTCAAACTCCACTTTCTTGTGCTGCACTGCTTTTCTTTATTCTTAGCTACAAGTCTCTCATGCAGTGGAGCTGGTCACATGGGCTGTGCCCTTTGTCATCATCAGCCACTGCCTTATCAACTGTATAGTACAACATGTACAAACAAATCCGTAGTAGTGTATAAACCCTAATAGATCCAGGAGACTCCTCAGTGAGTCCTCCTGTTGTTTACTCACAACTAACTTGGTCCTATTCTAAGGGGTTTACCCACTCCTCACTCTATCCTCTATGGCTTGTTGTCGTGTGCGCCAGAGTATAAAAACTATGGTTATAACACCTTCATATATTGATCTAGCCAATGATTCAACCAGGAGGAAAGCTGTCTGAGTATTCAAGACAACTACTGACTTCTTTGACGTCATTCTAGCAGACACAGATATCAAAAAGTTTCATGATGGAACTGATGATCAGCTAAACTCACATATAGCGGTGGGCTTGCTAAATTTATTACTAAGGAAGCCGCTCAGTTAGTAGTTGTGTCTGGGTCATCACTATGAGAAGATCTGCAGATCACACAATATTGAATAAAGGGTACTATAGTATTGTACAATGCAAACTTTGATAGCTACTTGGAAATCAACAGCTCTCACATGACCTTGAATCTCATTGACTAGCTCCGAGCACTCATGCATGCCAGTCTGACCTGGACTTGGGGGTACCAAAACCTTCTGCCAACGCTAACTGGTATGCTAGTTCAGCAGCTCTCTCCTTGGCATTTGCTAACTGTTGCATTTTTGTAGCTATCCTCTGTTTAAGCCCAATAATCATGCTTCTGTGCTGCCAGCTCCTCCCACCATGTCGGAGCCCACAACTCCAATGACTGCCACATCTGATGCAAATAGCAGCTAAAAAGCACAATCAGACCAAACATAGTTGTATAATATCTTATTTACCTCGCTCTCGGGTCTTTAGGCCAATTTGGACATCCATACTAGCCACATGATTTGATGTTATTCTGACACTTTTGGAATAATGATTATCACCTTCAGGTTTAAGTGTGCCAAGCTCAAGCCTTCAATCGTTGAGAAGTGAGCCTTGGTGCATCTCTTCCAAGTTTTCTGTGAAGCACACAATTTTCAGGTGCTGTCCTTTCTATTGTAGCTGGCTTTTATGTCTTTGACATTGATATATAGAAAGTCACCTTTGTGGTCTAGTTCCAAGTCATTGATCAGTTAAACAATGTCAAGGAATAGACTAGACGCACCGGGATACCAAGTTTTCTAACATGATTCTGCCAGCTGAGATATTGAAGCTCTGACCACTAGCATAAGTGATGGTACAGTTTATGGCGTGTTGCAATGTTGAGGTATGATAGTGCTGGAGTTGTGGACTGTACAGATCTACTGAATGAGCACACAGTAGCCAACCACTGAGATATAGCTCAAAATGCGACATTATATACTGAAAATTCTATCAAGGTCAAGCTCATTCACAGTTACGCTTGAACCGTACTAGTATATGGGCCGCATTAGCAACTGGCATTGAATGCCTTGTATTGAGAACGAGATGGCAAACATCTATTCTTGTATGGATTTTGTCGGTGTGGGGAGGGTGAATGCAATCTGTGTCGTTTAGTTTGGTAAGATGAATTGTTTTTGTTGAAAGATGTTCTTTTGTTGTTGGAATTGGGTTGTGTGTGACAATCACGTTGTCTAACTGTGTGTTGAGAAGGTGTGTGTTTGCGTGTTTGTTTCTTGTTTTTAGTGTGAAGGTTGATTAGTATTGTGATTGTATCAGTAATGGGCAAGAAAAGGACCCGCCTGACTTAGTTTTTGAGGTGATGTGTTTGTTGGTCAGGTTTTCTAGAAGCGCCATGTTGATGATGGCAATGTTGAAAGGATAGTCAGTTTTGATAAGATTGTGTCATTCACATTGAATGCGGGCTTGGTATTGAATGAAAATGTTGTCGCCAAAGGGATTATTGCGCAATTCATGAACCTCAATAACTGTAAGAAGAACATGGCCAAGGTGTTGCAATGACCTGTAGGCCAACCTAGCTATTCCATATGTACCATATGTTTCAACATAGAGGTTTTGGCGATGGAGATTTGACGCATGTCTAATTGTTTGTCTGGTAGGGTGTTTCATGATGCTCAAAAGGCTGATGTGGGGCGCAAAGCGGTGTCATCAATTTTGGTAAAACCATAGGAATCAGCGGATGACTTTTGCAAAATTGTTGCGTCCATGCATCCTTCTTTGGTGGGATTGTTCTTCAATTTTGTTTAGAGTGTATGGTGATGGTTGGTCAAGAAGAATGGAGGGTACCAATAAGTTGTCAATGAAATCCGTGAGTTTGTTTTTCTTCTTGTTGTTTTGGCTTGGAAGTGGTTGATTGGGTTCTGCTGGCAGTTCCTCAATGTTGTGTTCTTAAGGCTATTGTTGTAGCTTCTATTGTGCTTTCTTTGCGGCGTTGTTGGCTTTCCAGGTGTTTTCTAATTTGACGACTGCTTGCTCCGTGGTTATGTTGTTAGTGTGGGCTCGAATGTTGCGAGTTTCTCCGAAGAGAGGTGAGTTTAAATTGGGACAAATGTCTAATAATGGGTTGTATGTAAGAAGAGGCATGTTAAATGAAGATCAAGGACTGTGTGTAAGTGTTTGTGTCTAGGGTGATAAGATAAGAAGAAAGATGACAAATAAAAATGGTTGAATGGAAAAATGATGCAGCTTAGTCATCTGTACACTGTAGCAAAGGCATTATTCTACTTGCTTATGTGTTCCTTGTGGCGCTATTAGAAGTGGTAGCTCTTGAGTCACTCCAAATCACAGCTTAAGGTCTACTGCTGTATTCAGAATAAACTGGGGAATTTTACGATACGAGAGTCCTTTATTTACAAAAATGATAAGCTAAGTCATAAAAGGAGAATGAATGACTAGCAAGTAATGACAGTTTAGGATTATGGCTCAGCTTTGGGAATAAGGAGTGTGGTGCAAAGTATCAAGAGCAGGCATGAGTAAGCAACTATGTGGTTCACTGCAAGTAACAGTTGAGTCACAACCATTACCAGGACCCCCGCCATGTATGGTGGTGCTCAACCAACTGAGCTACCAGCCCTTGTACTAATGTCAACTCATGATGTATGTTGTCCAACAAGGCTAACAGGCTTTGACTTTGACTATTCCAACACCGCCTTGTTACATGCAGGGCTTAAGCAGTTGTGAGAGACCTTATTCAGTGAACTGAAACATTGTGAATAAAATTTTGCATGCATCACACATCACACTCAAGGTTGAACATTGACTTATAGTGTTCACAGCCATCACATGTCACAGAACCTATGGTCAAAATGGTACAGTAATAGTGATGTCGTGCTCACACTTGCCACGGCACATCAGGATGTGCTTTGTTGAATATCATGTGACACATCCAATGTTGAATCAAGTTGGTTGATCGTCACGTAATGGTGTAGTATCTGCTGTTGAATCGAGTTGTGGCAAATGCCATTAAACTGTAACATTTCCCATCAAAGTCCACCAATAACTAAGATATATTGAAGGAGGCCCGAAAACTGCCTTCCAGGCTTAGAGGTGCATCGGGTGAGTGATATCAACTTTACTTAGGAGGTGACTGTGGGAGTCTCAGGTGCGATCAACTGGTCGATGGTTTTTTGCGACCGACAGAACCCTCCTTCAACTAACGTTAAAGAGTCGGGGAAACAAATTTTCAGCTGTTTGCAGATGTTGTAGTGAATAGCCATCCTGTATAACTGCATCTGAATACTAGTATACGTTATTTGCCTAACTTATACGAGAACGAGAGTATCAATCGACAACCTCTTCTGTTTGATCAATAACTTCATCTATCCATTCTTCGATTTCTTCCTTGCTTTCTTCACGGCACAGGGCCAACCTGATACGGCTGTGTTGCTCTTCTGCAACCTCTTGCCTACACCGAGCACGCCAGGTATTCCATTCATCCACGAGACGCTTGCGATGCCCGACAAGTTCGGCACTTATGCTGCTTTCCTCTGCGGCATCTTCCTCATCAAATGAGCGACCATATTCTCGCAATTTTCTCCGGACCTCGCGCTTTTGCTCTTGAGTTAACAATGAATGGGGACGAGGACGCCAAATAAGTTGCTTGAACCGATCCACCAGATGTTTTTCAATCTCTTGACCACGAAAATCCCATATGGCATAACCGTTCTCAAGCTAAAAAAAGCATGAGCATAGATAACTATATATGAACATATCATTCATATCAGCTCACCGTATGTCTCCATGCACTAGCACTAGTGGCTAAAAAGCGGCCACTGGGATCCCATTCCACATCAGTCACACCATAATGATCAGCCGAACCGAGATGCTGAATCCCTCCTGCCCAGTCCTCCTTGGCAGCCTGGCCCTCCCTACGCTCCTCGCTGAAAAAATCCATATCCCAAAACTCCAGTTCTGATTTGGTTGACGAGCCTACAGTAGCAAGTACGATGTGCCTTCCTCGAGGGGACCATCTGATAGTATTGCTGGTTCGCGAGGGAAGGACACCTATGGACCAATGACGTATTGAGGTGACAGGTGCTGTATAAGAGGAAATTTCTCACGCAATAGCTTGAAATCATTCTTTACAGGATCAAGCTGGTAGAAACTTATATCTGTTTTGACTGTACCGGCATTTGAGCTGCCGAGATTCGAGTCTGCACTTGTGATGATAGCAAAACGCTCGCCTCGGGGCTCCCAGGCGAAGTCGTTTACAGTATCTTAATTGATGAACATGGTAAATGAGCTCAGGTAAGAATAAAACCGTTATACCTTTCAATTCTACTACCTCGACTGGAAAATCCTTTTCGCGTACACGGAATATTTCCAGATTGCAGAACGTCGATTTTTTCGTTTTTGTATGGCGATCGACTTTGACACATAGGAAGTCACCATGATTCTGCCAAAATAGTTTGCACTGCAAAACATGTTTCAGGAATAGAAATTAACAGAGCACCGAAACGTACTTCAGTAACATTGAATAAATTTTTCTGCCTCAAGATTGTTCGGCCAGGGAAGGTCAACAGAGTAACACGCGCAGGTTGATTAGCCACCTCTGGAGTCCAATATGCTAACATGTTTTCCTCGAGCTTGCGCCCTTTCGATCCTTGGAACCGTCCTTCGTCTTTATCTTTATCACCATGGGGGCACCATTCAAAATCAACGACGCTCTCAATCTTTAAACTTTTTTTCCCGTGCAAACCCATAGTAGGCAATTCGTAAACGCTTATGTGCTGGCCAGGTGTTATCCGAGCGACAAATTTGTCATCGGCACTCCACTTTAGCGCAGGCCACTGCATTTGCTTTTTCAGGGAGTCGTCAAATACTAAACTGGCACTTGGAAAAGTACGAAGAAGGTGTCCTGTCTTGACATCCCACACAGCGATATGATTTCCTTCATCCTCTGGCGAAAAGAATTCAGGTCCTTGAGGGAGATTTGCTGGGACATTGATGGGATCATGGGACCATGTTACAAGATATTGCTCGCAAGGCGAGAAATCGATCAACTTTACCAGCGGATGGGCAAATCGCTGCTGATGCTCCCAGGAAGGGCCACCCCACAAGCGGACTCCTTGACGGTAGATAGTCGCGAGGTATGTTCCCTGAGGCGACCAGGATACGTATAGCTCAGTCCATGCCTATCAAGTAGTTAGCGTATTTACTAGGTGAATGATGTGATGCACCAACCTTTTTTGAGTAAGATACTCCAGACTGAGACGACTTCCCGTGCCAACGAATTTCGACATCCTCGCCGCGATACGTGACATACTGATCACGACCAAGCGGGTCTGCAAGCCATGATCGGAGATGCTCCTGTAGCGCAAGTGATAGATCGAGTTATAATCTAGTGCAGGACGGTCATTATATCATACCTTCGTGTGATAATCTTCCATCGGTGGGTCCAAGTAGGTTTCATTCAACTGCACGTACCGCTCCACATCGACAAATCGATTGATCTTAAATTGATGCCTGGCGTCGAAAGCATGTCCATGCATAGCTGTCAGACTAAGGGAAGTATCCTCTGCATTTCTCAAGTTGATGAATATAAATCTGTAAATACCGTGAGCATCGACATTTGTTTTTTTATTTGTGAAAAAATGTACTACCCCTTGCTCTTTCCTACACACTTATCCCAAGGGACATGGATTTCGTCTTGTTTGATATATATGCCCTTTTTTGAAAATTCCTTCGTAATTTTGGACAGAAGCTTGTCTAGCTTCGAGTTGTCAATAACAGGCACCCCATCCACTACAACTATGTTATCGAATCCGTCGTCATGTTGAATTTGATATCTTTTGGGTGAAAAACGACTCGTCAGACCAATAAAGTAACAACCGGAAAGTATGTACTTAGTTAAGATGTCAGAAAAATCAAGATCTTCGGTATACCTAGGAGCATGGTGCAGCTCAGCCATTCCGTTGTGCGGAGGTTCTGTCGAGGGTTCTTCCAAACAGGAGTGCTGTTTTCATTGGCGGGAAACCTTATACTTTGTGAACTCCCACGGTGAACTGGGTCTTTTGCTACACAGCCCGCATCACACTTCACAGTGAGGAATTTCGTCGTCCCAAAATGACACAGAAAATTACAAATGAAACATTAAATTTCGCATCAGCATTTTGATTACATGAAAGAAAGAATGTCGAGCCACATCGAAATACTAATGAAAACATCAATTTTTCATGGAAATTCCCTGCTATCATCATAAAGGAAGACCTCAGTCCTATCATTTGAGGGGACTATAATATCCATAACCCTATCCCTGTCAACGGTAGAAGACCATGAAGATGGATGGTAGCCACTTCAGTCGCCCTTCAAATGGGGGCATTTAGGTTGAACATTGGGTGTAAAACTACCAACCTAAATGCCTATTTTTTTGGGCAAATCCCAAGACTTGGGATAATCCCGAGGCAATTTACATCTAGGCAAATCCCATCCCAAAAAAATGTCACATGTTACAAAGTGTCAGAAGGGGCTTGGACTGGTATTTCTGGACAACATTCAAACAATATAAGTGACAACAAATGAAAATGTAGTTAAGATTGTTTAGAAGCATTGAATGCATTAATCTTGACCACCATTAGAATGTGTTGGCATTTGCAAAATGATAGTATTTATGATCTAAATTCATATTACATATGTATCCCTATAATATTACATCATTCATGTCCTTAGCATACTCCATTGGAATCATTTAATAGAGTAGAGGAATTTTAATTGAATTCTGTGAACTGTAAGGGTGCAAACATAAAATTTCCAGCTGGTTGTCCTACATATACATATTGTATGGTGTATGTACCAATAGCAGAACAACCTTCCTATATTTTATATAGTCAATAAATTATGGGCCTCAAGGCTTTGTGTATCTATGTCCACTGCTTATTGTAAAGCTTTACTAGTATTGAAGTACAGTGTTTATAATAGACTGAAATTTCAGGTGCACAAACCAAAACAAAAGATATTAGAGAAATGCAAATACTTTAAAAGTTTAAAAGCAATATTTGATAGTATTTCTAAAGAGTAAGTGGGCTGTAGCTGCAAAATGTTTTTTATGGTAAATGATCTTCATTACGTGTGGGTTCAGCAAAGGCAGCAAAAAGTACAGTTTGTGGTTGTTGAGAATTGGCCCTCGTACTAAGCAAAGATTAACTGCAATAGAACTAAAAGATGCAAAAAAAAAAAAACTGCAGTGTAAAAGAAAGCAACAAAGAAGAAAAGTATAGGCTTTTTCTTTCAATTTGGCATTGCAACTGAATTTGAGACTGATTGTCTCAGAACTGGGTGATAGTTCACATTTGAAATAGTGGTTGAAGACCAGGATCTCACATACTGTTGTTAATCGTTAGCTCGGATGGGGGGGGGGGGGGCTATCTGGATGTCACAGAGGTCACACAAGCCGTGTTGGAGCTCCGCTTGGCACTATCAGTGGTTGAACATGATAATGAGTGTGGCACACCTGAACTTCTTGAAACTGAGATTGCAGCACCTCAGTAGAGCATTACTTTCTCAAAAGTCATGCACATAGAAGGAACTCGCTCAATAATTCAGGATTTTGTGCTAGGAGGTTGGAGTAAGTGGTAAAAATATATAGAACCACTATGGGTTGAGTTGTTGAGGAAAAATGACAGTAGAACATATATTTTCAGAAATGTCCAAATAGCCCCCCCCATCTGAGCTGAAGGTTAACGACAGTATTGATTGAATTTGCCCTAGGTCTTTGGGACCAGAATTGGATGATTCCACACACTTTGGGGATCTACCTTAGCTTTGGGATAATCCCATACACTTGTGGGATCTGCCCCCTATGTCTGGGATGGTTCTATACACTCATGGGATCTGTCTCTCAGTCTGGGATTATCCACAATTGATGTGGGACAATCCCATGCATTTGTGGGATCTGCCCTTCAATCTGGGATGATCACAGAATGTGTTGGGGATAATCCCATACACTCATGGGATTTGCCTCTTAGTTAGGGATCTGCCCCATCAATCTCTGGTCCACATCTCATTGTAAATCCTGTGAGATTTTGAAGCATTGGTGAAGATACGCTTGGGCCTGTAGATAATGTCCTTGACATGAGTTGGATTTCCTAGCAAGGACTTGATAGCTTTGATAGGGATCACAACAATAAACCATATGCTTATGCTCAGGACTATTCCACAACTCTCTAGTCTTCCAAGTAGTATGTTCTGGAACACAATTGACCAGCTTATAGAGCCCATATATATTATGGTAGGATAGACCTAATGTATCCACCACCTTGGTTGAAGTAGATAAATCAATATATGTGCTTGAAAGAGAGAAGAGGAAATGTAGCCCTGGTATTGCCATTAATCTATCAAATATTTTATGGCCTATCCTATTCTGTACAGCCCAACAAACAACCCTCCAGTCTAGCTCTAATGCAAGGGGTGCAAAAATGTTCCCTGATCCATCTGACATATCTGAATCCATATCCATATCACCATCCATATCATCAGCTCCAAATTCTCTCCTCCATCTTTCATATACCGTTTTATTCATCCTAATCACCTTTCATGCAGTAGGGTGGGGTACCTTAATACACTCCTCATCATTTTCACCAAGAAGCTTTGAGGGTCCAGCCATATTCTCCTCAGATTCTGTGGGAATAAAGTCATAGAGATGATTATAGTAGTCATCCAACACGTCTTCTGGGTCTTCATCCATAGGTCTAAGTTCATCAGATAATATATCAGGTACTTCTGTTGTCTCCAAGTCATTACCCCTATCAAGTTCTCCTGGAATTGTCAAACTTTGTAGCTTCCCTTTGTTATACCACTTGCAGCTTCTTGCTGATAACATATGGTATTAAACCTAAAGATTACATGTAAAGCTACAGACTACACTGTGGCTGATAGCAATATATTGTATAGGCACAATTTGGGATTTGTTCACAATCGTAAAATAAAAGGCAAAAAAAGTACCTCCTTTTACCTTTTTTTCGCCTGCTACGGGTGCATGTTGATCTCAGGCGCTTTCTGACAGGCTCCTCCCCTTCAATTTCATCTGAAGTGTGTTTAGTTCCACTTGAAGGCTTGCTGGGCCCAGATATGGGTGGGTCTGGGGGATTGTGATGGTCAACAGGCAAAGACAAGAGAGATGGTTTCTTCACATCTTGGAGCTGCAGCTGGTACCTCTCTCTTCCAGCAGTGATAACCTCCACAAATACTCCCACCCTATCAGACTCAGGCTTAATATGTTCCTCATATCTTTCACAATATCCACCATCTCCTAGTGTGAAATTTGTTTGGGGGGAGGACTATAAAGCATGTTGCCATCACCACTATATGTTTTACTCCACATGAATGCACTGAAAAGCTTGACCATTCCTGCCCTGACCGACACATGGCTGCAAAAATAAGGATTGATGCATGCCATAAAGTGTAGGCGCGAGAGCATAACTTTATTTGGAATTGGCTGGAAGTCCAGTGTTACAATGGCTGTGTCCCAACTACAAATTGGGTAAGCATAATTTTCCCACATGCAGAATAAGGTGTCATGCACATGTCTGGCTGTGTTGGATTCATCAAGTATTTGCATTGGAAACAAAGAAAAATCTGTCAAGTAGAATGTTTGTAATGTGTGTAAGTCAGCACTGTGAAGGGGGTGAGGGGTGTCTGCAGTCTTCTGAGTGAGTAAAATATATCAGTCTAATTCACTTCTATCTCTGATAACCATTAATAGTTTCATATTTCTATAGGTCCCATTCCTTTAATAATACCATCCATCAGGGATGTGGAAGGTATTTGGGTGTTGAGAAAGCGTGGGAATGTTGTCACAGATGTGTGGTGTGGGTGAAGGGAGGTGCAATTGTGTTTTGCAGCACAATTGCACCTCCCGCCCACCCCCGCCACATGTGCCAAACAGCAAGCTCACACCTCAAAAATGTGCCAGCAGCCATTAGAAACACACTGAAGAAGAAGCTGCAATACACCTTTCATAGATCACCACTAGGCTGCAATATGCTTTGACAACCATCACTTCCTCTTCCCCCACCTCCTACCAACCCTCCTACCTGTGAGGCAACGATAAACTATAACAAAAACTAAACCTGTCTCCTTCTGCACTTGCAGGGAGTAAGGGGTTCGATGAGCTTGAGGTTGACAGACACTAGTAAATATAGCGAGTAGAGGACTTTGAGAGGTAAGCTTCAAAGGTTTTTGTTGAGGAGTAAAACGGGTAAATTCAGTAATAGAAAACTAAGGAGCTATACATGAATAGGTAAGACTTTATATAGTGAACTGTTCGTTCCTCAGACCGAAAGGAGAATAATTGAAAAGTGGTCTGAGAAACCAATCAGCCAATAAGAAAAAGAGAGGACAACTATTGTACGACTTTTAACTTGATTAATCAGCAGGTGAGAGTTTTGTACTAATAATAGAGGTTTGTTACGCGTGTTCAGGAACCGTATCCTCATGATGAGGTACGATCCTGAACAAGGTGTTTATTAATATATCCAGGCTTTACTGGGGCTTGGAGCTGGTTGGCGAGATGCCTACTACCAGTCCCTACTCAGTGTGCTGGCTGGCTGGGAGCAATACCCAGTCTCTGATCTGTGATATAAAGTGGTAGCAATGGTTAAGAAAGTCTGTGAGGGCTATGAGAAGTAAAATGGCAAATGATACCTCTAGCCCTAGAGCCAGAGGTGTAATGGGAAAAGTGTTCGAGAACCAAGACATAGAGAAGATAAGAAAATGATAAAACGGTCCTTACACTACCAGAACAACTTGTCAGAATTTCATAGCCAAGTCCAGAAAGATCAAACTGGCAGTGTACCCTGCAGTAGCTGGAGCGTGTCCTAGAAACAAAGTGCTGTTAGTTGCTGGGGAAACTTGGGAAAAATACAATATGTACTTCCCTGGCTTCATCTGACACTATCATTTCCTCCCTCTCCACAGCTCACTTCCAGTCTATCTCCCAAAACCCAGCAACCTGGGTCCAGCAAATACAGTTATCCTTGGCTGCCAATGAAATTATGTGAAAAGGTGCTTCCCTTGAGTGGACAATCAATATGTGATATTCATTTGACTGGGCACGAGGTTGGGGTGTCTTTCTTGTTGATGTTGAGTAGGATCCATCAGGCTGTAATGTTGCATAGGTGAGCTCTTTATTGATTCTGTATTAACATTTAAATACCTTGTTTTATAGCTTGATCAACCCTGCTGGTTCTTTTGGCAACATCAAGAGCATCTATAGGACTAGGGTGCAGCCTATTCCAGGGTGCACCCCAGCGAGAGAATATTCTACCAGTGGGTAGAGGCTGGCTGGAAGTACCTGCAACTAGCTGCAAGTGGGTCAGTGTACCTGCTAGTGCTTGTTGCCGGGTTGGATCTTTGGTGGATGCTGAGCAGGGTTAATGCAAGGGTGCCTTGGGAAGTCGGGAAGCTTCTCAGGTGTCCTATAAATGAGGGTGAGTTTTTGTTACTCCCCTTAGGTTATACTCACTTTTCTCCCCATTTTGTAGGCCCTGGATTGCTCATGTGCAACCCAATTATCCCCACTATTACTCACTTACACACACTACTGCCACTCTTATTTCCGCACTTCCTGCTCAAATTATCCTTCAATTGCATGTCCTTGAAGGATTCTGACAGACTCTTTGGCAGTGTCCACCTCAAGTAAGTCATTTCTTGTTATTATCTCATGTTGCTTATGCTTTTTCTCAGCAATTTTTAACTCCCAAGACACTTGCAATTGCCATGGAAGGAGGCACTCAGACCATGCCTAGAAGATCCCCTCAATGTCACTATCTCTCCTTCAGCCTTTACCCCTCAGCGGAACACCAATAATGAGGACACCAATAGCAATGATGCCAACAACAACACCACCAACACCACCAACACTAGGGTTGACTATACTGCCCTACCAATGTCTTATACAAATTTGACATTGTATAACCGCCATAGCACCACCAATTGCCAATTTCCCACAAGTCACAGACACAAGGAGAACTTTGAGTGGACTGATTCTCAAAATTACCATCAAAACTCCTACTGTATTAGGTTTTCCAGACTTGATATCAAAGGTGAGCTTTTTTTTCTTTTTCTTTGCTCTACTGACATGTACTACAGCTATCTACATACTACATTGATGGATGCAAGGCTGAGGATTCTTACCTCAGAGTCCCTATGCTCTGTGTCCCATCTGCCATCAACATTTGCAACAACAATAGGACCCTTATGGCTTTTATATGCCCTTCAATGCCTCAATATATGAAGATGAACCTGATGTTGAACCTCAAGGCCTATTTTGATGGTCTGCCCATCTTCAACAACAATGCTGGCAGAGCTCCTTTCCAGTGTCTCCACTTCTTATAGTGGAATTGCTATGGGAAAATTGTTACGATCTCTATTGGACATTTAAGGATTACTCATTTCTTTTTACTCATCAGTTATACCATCTGACCGATGACTCATTTCCTTCACGTACACTTCCGTTCCTCTCGCATTCACAGTACCTATTATAGTACTTAGTCCTCATCAGACGGACCTGCCCTAGATAGGACCTAACTCCTATCACCGATTCCTTTCCATTATAAATACCATGTAACAGCAGAAGTATTCTCTAATACGATTCTACACAGTTTACGCTTACAAAGCTAGACTCCTAAGATCAGACTTCTACTCAGAAGAAGACCAACTCCCGTTGGAAAACCTCCACTCAGAACCACGTTCTCGAACTTGTCTTCAGATAAGTCTCTTTACAAACCTCAACGAACCCTCAGACTTTGTTAAGCACTTTGTGCGTAACAAAAATGGTGCATATTCTCTTCTTTTTGTTTCTGTTTTTTCCCACAGAAATGATAATTTTGCTAGGGACATGGGGCACCTGTTGACGTGCATCCCCAAGAGCTTGTAGTTACAACCAACACTTTTGGAGAAGTCTTTGAATTGATTTCTAATGTGGTGAGTGCTATATGTATCATATTGTGCACAGCTAATGTGAGTTTGTAGATGGAACACCATTTACCTGCAGAGTATCATAATCTTGTCCAGATTATCGATACTCTGCCAGCCAAACCAGGTTCCACAGTCAGCCCTTTTCTTTCCATGGTTATCAATATCAATGTTTGCACCAATGCACATCATGATAGTAAGGATAACAATCTCTGTTTGTTTTACCTCTAGGGGATTTTACAGGTGGAGGACTTGTCTTGCATGACCAAGAGTTAGTTTTTGAGATGGGTTGTTGGGACTTTGCAGTTTTTCGCTCAGAGGAGACTACTCATTTTAACTTGAATTATCAGGGCAATAGAGTACCATTAGTTTTACATATAGATGGAGGGTTTGGGAGTTGGGTAAATGATAGGAATGGTTGGAAAACAATAGATATTTTAGCTAGCTTACATAGTTGTTTCTTTCAGATTTACTCTATAGGTTTTAGTATCATTGTATTGCATGTAGACTATTGCTTTATATGTTCTTATATCTGTTTCTGTGTTTTTGTAGGTCCCTATGTGGCATTATTTGTTCACAGCAGTCAAATTTTCCACTGACCACCAGGTCTACATTAACCTGGTGCATATCTACCTAGGGCACCCTGGGTGGCAACAAACTATAGAGTTGATCTCCAGAAATGACATGTGGCCTGGCATGGTCAAACACATATAAGAATATGTAAAGTGTTGTCTGAGACATGCAATAGCAAAGGATGCTCATCAACCGCCAGCCAGTAATCTGATACCAGCTGGCCCCTGGCAGGATATATTGGTTAATTTCAGGATGGATCTGCCTAAGTTACAATTTAGTGATGGTGGTGGTGGATCACTCCTCAAAAGAAGTTGTATTCATTCCCACAAATAAAACTATTACAGCCACTGGAGCAGCATATCTATTTAAAGCTTTGTATGGTGTATCCACAGATTGCCGGGAATGGTCATATCCAACAGAGGACCTCAATTTGCTAGTGAATTCAAGAAAGAACTATGCCGGATCTGGGCATCAAACTTAAGTTATCAACCATGTTCCTGTTACAAACTGATGGACAAACAAAGAGACTCGACGAGGAGTTAAAATAGTATGTCCGGATATTTATCAATGATAGGCAGATTGGGCCAAGTGACTAAAAATAGCTCAGTTCTCATATAATGTCAAACAGTTGTCAGCCACAGGCAAGGCACCATTCTAAAAGCAAAAACAAGGCTGCTTGGACTATGGCCAAGGATTAAGGAAGTTAAGCCCAACACAGTGGAGCTAGAACTCCCAAAATGAATAAGAGTGGTACCCACGGTCAACATCAGCCGTGTAAAACCCTACAAAGGGCCGCTGCCGGGGCAGCACATAGACTGGCCAGGACCAGTTATAGTCACCCGAAAAGGGGAAGAAGAGTTTAAGGTTGAATAAATGGTGGATCCACACTTGAAGCATGGAAAATTAGAGTTTCTGGTCCTCTGGAAGGGCTGTGGAGATGAGGACAGAACATGGGAACCAGAAGCCCATCTGGACAATTCCTGCAATGCTGTCCACAAATTTTATTCCAAATTTTATTCCAAAAATCCCTTGGCTCCTAGGAAGCTTGGAGGCATAGATTCAAACCTTTTTAATTCCCTTTTTCAACCAATACCCAAGAATGTAACTACTACCTCTGGTACTTTGGTCTTGGTTGAAAGTTGGGCCTTAAGAGGGGGGTAGTGTTACAATACATAATTTTTAGACTTGTAATTTTCAGTCTACTTTTCAACTTTTTTTCCCTTTTTGACACTTGTACCATGTAGCACTTTTATTTTATTTTCAAGCTCCATTTATCCTTTACTTTCTCACACTGTGCTGCCTCCTTTTATTTATAGTTACAACTCTCTCATGTGGCGGAGCTGGTCACAAGGGCTACACCCTATGACATCATCAGCCAGCCACCACCCTTAGCAACTGTATAGCACACATGACAAACAATCTGTAGTAGTATATATACCCTAATAGATCAAGGAGACTCCTTAGCGAGTCCTCCTGTTGATTACTCTCAACTAACTCAGTCCTACAGTAACCTAAGGGGTATATACACTTCTCCACTCACCACTCTCCACCTGTCTTTAGTGTGCGCAAGAGTGTACAAACTTTGGTTGTAACAAAGGAAGTACACTTACTTGACATTATATTTGGCCAGAATAGAATCAGGATGGATTCTGAGAAAGTTCAAGCTATATTGGAATGGCCAGAACCTACTTGTGTCAAAGGAGTTATGGCCTCATTCTCAGCTCTAACTTATATTTTCCTTTGCCACACAGTGTCTGGTGTATTTTATAGCTACATCTCTTTCACACAGTGGAGCTGGTTGCAAGGCTGTGCCCTATGACATTGTCAGCCACCACTTCTTATTAACAGTATAGTATACATGTACAAACACCATGTTGTAGTATATATACATATATAGTAATAAATCTAAGTGAAACTCAGCCACTGCCCAAGAGGCTATAGAACTGACTTTATTATTTACCTAAGTGAAACTACAATAGGTGTCAGTTCAAGGTAATTTCTATGAAATGTAATATAACATACCTCAGCTGCTGCCCAAAAGGCTATAGAAATGACTGAGGTATTCCTATACCAAACCCCTACTACTTATAGTCCAAGGTGCTACTCGCTAAGGTATAATGACTCCTAGGAGAACAATAGTGACTCTGTAGAGAGTGTGCATTCAACACAACACACAACAAGTATGAGCATCAGGTAGACATCAACAACCACAGTGGCGCAAATTCTGTGCACGTGAAACACCTTCCTAGTATATACACCGGACATTCCCGTAAACTCATACTTACTCGTTTCTCATTCACTGTTACACCTCAGTCTTTTATTCATTGACTGAGGTAAGGAAACTACACTACAATACCTACAGAATCACACTGGCATATTAATAGTCTCTTATTTTATTTCTATAGAAATATCATAATCTCATTAGACTCCATGGCCACTTTAGCAGAGACCGGGTTTATCCAGTTTTGTCATATACCCCTCAATGGATTAGAGACTCCTCAACAAGTCCTCCTGTTATTTACCAACTACACACTTGTTCCTACTAAGTAGAGTCTACCAACCTCTTCCCTCATCCTCTCTGCTTGTCTGTTGTCTGTTGTGTGCACCAGAGTATACCAACACCATTACATGAACTATATTGTTGATATATTTTTTACATGTTCAGTAAAATAACTAAAATCCATTTTGTAACAAGTAAATAAGAGATGTTGATCTCCCTTGTATGATGATTACATAGTTCATCAAAATCTGTCGTTTTCAATGTAGTTTTACACTGCACTTTTGAGTAAAATATCAACTTGTATTTTTCTGGTGAAATCCTAAATAATATGCGAATAATGCTTGGGTAGTAGCACATCTACATGATCATGCTGCATATCTAGCCCATCAATGTCTGGACAGTATCTCTGGTGTCTGTTTTCAACATGCTCCAAAGCCCCTGATTGTCGACTCTGGCAGCTCGTCAAAATCTTTCAGAGTCATGTCACAGCCAATGAACTAAGGCAGGCCAAAATAAGACTTGTGGGTCAACAAGAGTGAATCGTTGAATGAGCATATAGCCAATATATTGGCTCATATGGGGCTAGAATCCTGTTGATTGTGGCACCCTCTTCAATAGATTCAAAGCCTGGTGAGTTTTGTTTGTCCATTTGCTGGTCATTATTAACTGGTTTTATTATTGAGGCCCTCTCTCAGTCCTTGCGACAGCTTCAGCAACTTGAAATGACGGTATGAATGGCTTTTGTCTTGCTGGTCCTTTTGAGCTGACTCAGATGCTTCTGTGCAGTTGTGTTTAGCCTGGAAATCTTCATCATGGTTGATCAATCTCCTCTTGTGAATTATAATCTTTGGGAAAGTCACTTTTTGCTGCTTTTGCCCTGTTTGGTCTGAGTCTTCAATGTCGTTGTCTTCCAAGTTCTTTCTTGTTTGTGAAGCTGTCCTCATGCTTACACCCAGTGCTTTTTTCAGTCTTCCTCGAGGCATGCACCTGTTTTATCTAGTATAGGAGTGGGAGCGCTGATATTTGTAGATGGGAGGAATGATCATATAGGCTATCATAGCTGTACATGTAGTTATAATGAAATCCCTTGTGTTGCTGTACTACAAGGTCATACCTAATAAGGAATGAAAAATGACGATGATATTATTGTGTTATTATCCTTTGTGTTATTTTCTTATTATTTTGGTATTATTAGAATTAAAACTGTAATAATCCTACAAGGTTTTTTTGACACTATTCTGGTATTATTCAGAATTTTCACGTTATAATACCTCAGTTTTTTCAGGGCTCAGATGTGCAGTGTTAAGTCCAGGTGAAATGTTATATTTAAGATGGCCTAAATATCAATGTAAATAAATAATTTCAGTATGTATTTTGAATCACATTTGTTTGGTATACTAGAGTTTTTCTGATTGTGAAGTGCAAGTATTTTGCACTCTTGTCCGAACGTGGGAAAATGTGGCAATGCGAAAAGCATTGTATCCTCCAAGGCGATTGCGTAGTCCCTGCTCATTCTTTCAGAAAGTTTTAGAGACAAATGATCACAGATCAGCACATTCATACGTTGCAGAGGTCGACGCCTGTCATCGATTTTCTTGCGCTTCAAAGTGCCAGCCGTGTGCTCCAGGACCAGTTTATGAAAGACGAGCAAATTTTACCTGATTTTCGGGACGTTATAGCAAGTTGTACGTTCAATGCAAACTAGTTGTCTGATAAATTATTGAATGCATATCAACGATTTTAGCTGCAGGACAATCCTGCGCATACAGTGTGTTTCCTAATGATTTCAGAGTTCCTTTTCAGAAGAGAAAGCTTCTGGGGATACCTGAATCACTGTTCCAGTACTACAACAGTGAGTTGTGTTACCGATTGCAAGCACCCGTACACTACACTAACGCATCGTAGCTACTAATGTGACGTCCCACATGGGCCTTCTACCCGGAATTGAAAGGGTATGGATATCAATTGATCATAAATTATTTCTATGGGATTACGTGGAAGGGTACGTCTTCAGTTGTGGTAACAGATACTAACTTCAAGCAAATTTTCTGTAGCCAAGAGATACATTCCCTTGTCGAACAACAAGATGTTATAACTCAAGTCGCAGTCGTGAAGCCCAAGCCTGGTGTTTTCATTGACGAAATTTCCTACATCATGATCATCTGCACTCCCGTCTCGCTTCTTCTTATAGGACTCTCGTTACGCACTGATGGCAGATTGGGCCATCGATCTCACAAGGACATTGAAATGTATGCCACTGACATGGCAGTGCCTACCGATGTAGAAATGGCATCTATCGTAGGCACCCAAGGTGGCAGGATTTTCATGTGTGGGTCGCAGGACGGTTGTCTATATGAGCTATATTACCAGGAAAGCGAGTCATGGTTCAGTAAACGAGTGCAGTTGATTAATCATTCCGTGGGTGCAATGCAAAGTCTTTTTCCTCGCTTCTCGTTCCCAGATCCACAGGGTTAGTATGCCATCTTTTTCACCGTTGGTGTCACCTAAAGCTAATATTGCAGATCGTGTCATATCCGTCGTGTCTGACTCATCAAGGAATTGCGTCTACACATTGACTGCCAATAACTCGATACATATATATCAACCGCTCAGTGATAAAACGATACGACATGTTCAAACTATCACCGACCTTCATAAAAGTGCTCAAGATAAACTTCCTGGTTCCACGGCTTTGTCATCTCACGCCTTCCAGATTATAGGCCTTCACCCAGTGGAACCGAGCGGATCTCGCACCGGGTTGCAACTCATTGTTATCACTTCAAATGGTGTTCGTCTCTATTTCTCACCTTCTCCGAGCGCCAGCCACTATGCGCCAATGAGCAGAGATATGATTGACACACTGCAACCAATACAATTGATACATGTTCGACTGGCGCCTCCAAATCTTCTTTACCCTGACGAGCAATCCAATCTCCGTCGTGCTGTCATTTCTCCCCAGTCTTCTGCTCACCCATATATCCTTTCCGGAATCGAGAACTCGTGTTATCTGGAAGGTCTATTTATTGCTGCACAACCTGGCGAGCCTGATGGCACGGATTTTCTCGTGTGCATAGCTCCTGATTTGGCCCGTATCGCATCGCTCGGACAAACGTCCCAACTGGTACAGACGCATCAAAACAGCTCTTATGTAGGTGGCAGTCACCAACCACCACTTGTTGAATATGCTACATTGTTGGCTATACCGGGTCGTACTTGGGCTATGGCAAGTGTCCCAAGATCATACCATTCATCGTCACTGGCGCCTCCAAACGAGCTGGCCTCTCAGTTCTCTCATCTACCCCAGGAATTTATGATTCTGACCAATGTGGGGCTAACTTTTTTAGTTAAACGCCGAGCTCTGGATTATTTAAAGGCTGTTATCGAAGAAGTACAAAGCGAAGGAATTGTACAACCTATCATTGATTTCAGGGACAGGTATTTATGCTGTTGCTTTTACTATGTTACTTAGCTGGATTTCACACAGTTACGGGAGAGATCAAACTTGTGCTATGTTACTTGGCATAGCTTGTGGCAACGCTTTCATTGATATTTATGATCATTCAACCCCTGGAACATTTAATACTATCAGTCCCGACACTGCTACTGTGGCCAAGCAAGCATTTTATGACTTCGGGGAGCGGCCCATCTGGGCCGAGAGAGGCACATACGGAACAAGTGAGTTGGCTATGCTGTATACTCGAAATCTGCACTTCTTAATATCGTAGGCGATAGTTCTGGAACTGCCATTTACAGTGGTCGCAGGCAAGGCCTCCTGTTGTATCTATCGCGACTTCTTCAGCCGATCTGGAAAGTCAAACTGATCAAACCGAGGTGAACAATGTAATGAAGTGAAGTATGCCTTTGCAATGCTTATGAGATATGGGTAGCCTGACAGGTTTGTTGCAATCAAATCTGCAAGACGATTTATCCACCGTCCAAAGGAACCTTGGTGCTCTGAAGGACTTTCTAGATAAAAATCCACATCTCTTTCATTCTTCTGTAGGAGATCGTTCTGGTCCACGGATCACGACGGGTAAAGAACAAGAGGCTTGGAAGGTTCAACTATAATTATTTTTGGTTGGCAGAGCAAAATTGACTGGTCTTGATTTGTTCCACAGGCAGAGCAGGATTCTGTCGCGCAGCTCGAGGCTTTGTTGGCTAGAACAATAGAGGGTATATATTTTATCCTTACATTGAACGACTATAGGATAGGGGAGCTCGTACCTCAGTGAGTTGGTAACTGTGTGGTTTTTGGCTAGTTAATCTTTCATAAGGTTTCCAAGCGGCATTCAGGCCCTGCTCGCGTCCATGGCACTCGAGGATCTCATTACCTCAGTTAACGGAGTCACCATATCGCGAGCATTGGCTAATGTCGTAATAGAACAACAAATAGCACAACAGATCAACGTAGGGCATACTTGACACAATTGTTGGCCAGCTGCTAAACTTACTAGGTTGACGCACTCAGTGATGTTCTACAGGAACGATGTGGCTCATTCTGCAGCACAGATGATGTTATGTTATACAAAGTACAGTATAGGTGTTTCTCTTCTTGTGCACCGGGCTGAATAGGAGTCAGGCTCAAGAAACGATTCGGAAAGCCGGAGAGGCTTCGAGTCCTGCAGAACAGCAAACTTGGTTAGGTGACTCGCTGCGGTAAGATCTGGTCAACGAACGCAGCGAGCATATTAACTCACTTATTTCAAAGGCTCTTTACTAAAGGCGCACGGGTGCTACCATTTGAAAACATACGGGATATCTGTGGCAATTATCAGCGGCTTAATTACGCCCAAGGTGAGCTTATTTTTATTGGTGGTAGTATTTCGGTGTTGACTATTGATCCCAGGTGCTATTGAACTGCCCCTAAGCTGTGCTCACGCACTGGACCCGGACAACATTGGATTCGAGTACTGGGACGCTGGTTGTCCTCCCAATGACAGGCGCTTCGAGTACTATCAGCGAAGGCTGCAGTGCTATACACTTGTACTGGATTTTTTGGCGGCATTTGAAGGTGCCGGGAAAATTAAATCGGAGAGTTCGATGGTAGATGGACACGAGGCCGTTCGACACCATGCATATGAACTAGCATTCGCTAGCAAAGATGAAGCCTTTCATTCGACAATGTATGACTGGCTTGATAAACGAGGCTTGGCAGATGAACTTCTAGAGGTATGTTTAGCAGCTATTAGGACTGACAAAGTACGACCAACGAAAGTCTAGATGCGTCCTCCATACCTTGCGGCACATCTCAAACGAGAACCTATTACGATGCAAAAATATCAGCTTTTGTGGAAGTTCTACGTGAAAGATGGTCAGCCGTTGCGAGCAGCTGAGGTACTCACAATTCTAGCCGAATCTAACAAGTGAGCCTGATCAACACTCAATTCACTGCTTGTCATTGTTTGTCTTATGTGATGGCTTCCTTTTTTTTTTTCACTAAGTAGCGATTTGTCGCTCGGCCGTCGCCTGGAGTATCTGACTTTGGCAGTAGGGAATGCAAAGTCCCATCCTATATCCTACGAAGGACGACATGAAAACGCCGTCGCGTTTCTGACCGATCTTGAAGACAAGCTCGATGTTGCGAAAGTCCAATTCGAGTTGTACAATGTTCTTCTACCACGTACCAATGATGAAGGGGTAGGGGATAAAGTAAAATGTCTCTCTGAACGGCTGCTAAATATATCAGAGGTAAACAATTTTAATCCTTGAAGCGAAGAAATCATCTCAACTTCTTCAGTTATATCATCTCTATGCCGAGCCCTTCGATTTACCTGTAATAAAGCTCCTCATTCTACACGTGTCAGAGCATCAAGACGAAAATATAGTCAATCCTATATGGAGCAAGATATTTGAAGACGGTGAATATCCCCTTTCTAATTGCAGCATCACAGATCTGATCGTATCATAGCTCTTCAAGCAGATTCCGATGTGCAAGGCAACGCCGATCGTGTCCTCGCCACTATTGTACCACTTGGACAACGGTTTCACCCGTCCCAGAGTGCCTTTCCCTTGAGTGAGTTATTAAAGCAAGTCACTGTTGCACTGTCTAACAGCATGTTACTATGCGAACATTTAGGACATATTTCAAAATTAATAGTACAATTTTTTCTTGTACGGCGTGGTGACCTTCCCACTGGCTGGGCCGCCCGCGTACTAGTCCAATGTGGCGTTCCATATTCGGAAATATGGGATGTTCTACATGAAATGTACGAATCTCATGTACGTTGCATTCACTCAATATATGGAATAATGCTAAGACTAGCCTAGATCCCACCATTTAACGACCAGGTCAATGTTCAAGCAATAAACTCAAACATCGCCATCCTTCTTTCGGATTGGTTGGAGGAGGCAAAAAGGTCTCAGACATCCATTGCACAAATGGAAATTCCAGTTGGGCGAATTGATCTTGCGATTGATCAGTATCTGGCGGAGCTCGACTCGAGACAAATAGAGACTAAAAATATTTACGAAAGTATCAGGCGTCATCTTAGACGCAACTGGTAGCATAGCTATTCTCATGGCGCATATACCTGTTTATATATGACGCTCAGTCAAAAAGCCTAGTCAAGTTGCATGTAGTCAGCCAGTCGTTGTATAGTCTACTGCAGTCTCATTACAGTCATCAAAATGGCCAATGCTTGGGGGGACTTAAAAATGTCTAGTTGTCCCATAGTCTAATATGTTCCAACTTAGTCCAGTATAGTTAGTGAGGTCGAACCTTGCTCAGTAAATGCTTGAACAAATGCAAGATTTTACAGTTCGTTCGGGAATTCTTTCCCCCCCTCTGGGTTTCTCTTTTTCAGCCGCAATGTGCCGCTGTCGGAGAGCCATTTCATCTTGCGCGGAGCTCATGCCTTGATTACAACACTTTGTTCCCACCTCATGCCCACATCAGGATATCGGTGCAATTTGGGAGAAGCATTATAAGGGTTATAAAATATGTAATGAATATCAATCTGATGCTCACTTTTATAAGATACTGTATTACATAGCTAGATTATTAGCCTGGATAATTACACCAGCAGTATCATTCTTCCATATAATTGTGTGGATCTTACAGACAGATACCAACTGTAAGATTTTTCAGCAAATATAGTTGTAGCTATAGCTTATGTTAGCATTATACATTCACATTTCTTATATCTTTCTTTCTACCTATGTTTGCAGACTTCATTCTATCCTGTCCGCTTTTCTAGCATTACCTAATACTTAATTTTCCCACGATTACACCAAAAACTCGTATGATTTCCATTCTAGAGCCTCAGTCTTTTACACACAGACTGAGGTATGTTATTTCATTATAGTCACAACAACATTTACTTACATCTATAATAGCATTTAACATTATCCTTACAGGTAGATATCAATACAGTCTTTTACACACAGACTGAGCATTTAACATTATCCTTACAGAGTATATATCAGTTATCAGGTTATGAGCCCTGCCACGTTGCTTGAAAACTCTGCCTCGGCAACAACATTCTCTGTGCCCAAATTAGCCAAGGATGGCTCCAATTGGGTCACATACAAATCTCGAGTTGCTGTAGCTGTCGGAGCAAGAGGCCTATCTAGGCACTTGTCTGGCACAGCCAAAGCACCTACCATTCTTGAATACACAAGGAATTCTAATGGGGTTGCAACCAAGGCCGATGGCACTACTCTAAAAAAAGAGGATATAGAAGAATACAAGCGGAAACTCGACGAATTTACCATGAAAGAATGTCTGGTAATTCAACAACTATTTGCCACAATTCATGATGACACTCTTATACAACTATCGGACAAGAGCTCAGCTGCCAAAATCTGGAAAGCCATATCTAATATGCATGATGGATGAACTGAAATAATGCAAATAGATGTCCAACAACATTTGCAGAACCTGAGATGCTCCAAATCCGGAAATGTTCGAGCACGTATTCGAGACATGCTCAAGCTTAAAGAACAATTAGCCGGAATGGGTTTGGCAGTGGACAAAAAGGACTTCTCTGCAATGATCCTATCATCCCTTCCAGAAATGTATCGACCTCTTATCACATCCATTCTAACAACAGCTCGCATCTTGAGAAATCAGTTGTCATCAACTGACATCATAGCCCATGTAACCGACGAGGCCGACAATCGCACTCTATCTGCACAATCTCGAAACGAGTCAGCCATGATATCTAAAGCTACTGTCCAAGAAAAGAGGGCTGAACGGCATTGCAAATACAAATGTACAAACCCAAACTGTACAACCAAGACAGGTCATACTACAGAACAATGCTATGCCCCCGGTGGAGGCAGAGAAGGACAATGGCCTAAATCTAAGGGCAAACAAAAGGAATCTCAGCCAAAGCTGCAAACAACTGCACCAGCACCTACAAATCAAATAGCAGCTAATGTAGTCACCAATGCTACTGCATCAAATGACAACAAAATCTATGCCTTTACAGTTAGTGCACAAAGCGTAGACCAAGCCCATAGAGCATCTCACCATGAAGTCCAGGATGCAATAATAGACTGTGGGGCTACAGATTATTTCTGCCCCGATCGATCGAAGTTCCAATCTTATCCTATCATTGACCCTGTTCCAATCAACGCTGCAAAAGGAGACACCATGTATGCCTATGGAAAAGGAAACATGGCCTCTACACTGATTTCAGCAAGTCAAATGGACAAGGCTGGCTATTTGTTGCTTATATGAGGAGGCATCTGCAAAATTTGCACTCCTGGTCCTATCTGTCGTGTCATAGCCTGTATCCCAGAGACCAAAGGGCTATACCACATACCGTCAGCTAACAGCACCATGAACCAAAAGGCCTACCTCGCAACAACTCTCACAATCAACAAGTTACATTGTTGAATGGGACATATATTACATAACTCCCTAAAACATCTCATAAATTCTGGCTCAGCCGAAGGCGTAAACCTTGACACGTCCAATAAGGCAGTCTTCTGTGAACCATGCATATGTGCTAAGGCTACCCGAACACCATTTCCTAAAGTCAGTCAAACCCGAGCTAAAACCTATGGTGAAAGAATTCACTCGGATGTTTGGGGCCCAGCTGCAGTTTAAGATATCAAAAAAAAATGTTACATGTTAATGTTTACTGATGATTACACCAGAGAAACCCACCTTTGCTTACTTGTGACAAAGGACAAGGTCATCTCCATGTACAAGAAATTCGAAGCCTGGTTGAACGTTCAAAAGAACCAAGCTAAAATTAGAATTTTGAGATCTGATCAAGGCGGCGAATACACCAGCACAGATCTTTTAGAACGCAAAAACAAGGGACAGTCAGAGAGTTAACAAGCCATGACTCACCTCAGCAGAATGGTGTATCCAAATGATTAAACTGCACACTCGTTGAATCAGCGTGAGCAATGCTACTAGGCGCAAGTCTACCTAAAAATTTATGGGGAGAAACATTAAGGCACGCAGTATGGATCAAAAATAGGGCACCTACAAAGGACATAGCCGGCAAAACGCCCTATGAGATGGTCCATGGATCAAAGCCGGACCTTGGAGACATCCACAAATTTGGATGTACCACTTACATTAAGGTTATTGGTGTGGGAAAACTTGAACCGCATGCAAGAGCTGGCAAATGGGTTGGATTTGATAGTGAGTCCAAAGCTTACAGGGTCTATTGGCCAGAGTGACGTACCGTTTCAGTAGAACGTGACATTGCTTTCAACCCGGACGAGCAACTCGCCCCCGTCAGTCACCTTGACGATTATTCGATCTTCGACGATTGATCTGACGAACCTGAGGCTATAGCGGACCCATTAGCCACGCACGAGAACAATGTGTTCGAAAACTTACCGATCCCACTTGATCATGTCTATCAACACCACCTCGAACCTCATCTGATCGATCCACCTGCCATACAACCTCATCCACTTCATCAGCTCGTTATCCACCCTAATCCCATCATTAACAAAGCCCCAAATCACTATCAAATCCCTCTGAACCCTCAAAACAACCTTTTAGAGGCTTTCAAACCCGCAATTGAGCCTCGCGAATGTCCCAGATGTGCAGAACCGAAGCCACAGGGCTTCTACAGGGCTCTGCACAAAGGACAAAGTGTGGCATCAGCCGCACTGATCCCACCGGATGAGTCAGGCAAAGAAAATAGCGACAACAATGCTTACACAAGCGCCTGCCTCCTAGCTGCAGATCCGGACACACAACTTGACAGCGACACGCCAACAATGGCTGAAGCGCTACGAGGACCACATAGAGACGAGTGGTTAGAGGCTATCAATGAAGAATTAAGGCAAATAGAAAATTTGCGCACCTGGACTCTCGTCAAAGCGCCGCAAAATGCCAACATCATAAGATGTCACTATGTTCCCTGAATAAAATGTGGTCCTGAGGGCGAGATCCTAAAATTCAAGGTTTGGTTAGTTGCAAATGGCAATAATCAGCAATATGGTGTCAACTACAACGAGACTTACTCGGCAGTATCACGTTTGACGATAATCTGACTTGTACTTGCCCATGCAGCCGCCTAGAACTGGGAACTACTTCATCAAATAGACATCAAAAGTGCCTATCTAAATGCCAGCATTGACGAGGATATATATATGTACCCGCCATCAAACTACCTAAAGCCAGAACAAAAAGGACTAGTATACAAGTTGAATAAAGGACTATACAGACTAAAACAAGCTGGCAAACAGTGGTATGCAAAACTATCCGCAACCTTTGCTAATCTTGGCTTCACCAAGTCACAACATGATCACGCCTTATTTGTACACCATAATAAACAAAACAGTGTCGTAGTGGCTGTCTCTGTCAACAATATGTTGATTGCTGGTAGCACCATATCATCTGTTGAAGTTTTCAAAAAAGGAATGAAGGGAGAATACAAGATAACAGATATACATCAGTAAATTCCCAAATTACTTAATTTCCCTTGCAGCATCTTTATTGCCGAACAAGGAATGTTTAAGTTTGCGACAAGGAGCACGCCGACAAGGGCACAGACACTTGCCGCAAGTCAGAACAAGTAGACTCTCCTCCTTGTTTCTCCTTAATTTCACTTTTTGGCACTTGAATTCACACTTGTTTGAAGGGAAAGCATCAAGACAAACTATATTTCAAGTACGTAGATGTCATGGCAAGTATGGCAAGTGAAAAGGGGCGTGAAAAGGACCACAAAAGGAGGTAAAATGAGGGGAAAAGGACAGCAAATTGATGAAAAAAGTAGGCGGGGGACTGGTCATAAGGCATAGAGCTGATACAGTAAGATGGAGCGAGAGAACAAAGTGGTAGTGGGCAACGGTGATAGGACAGCGTTGACAAAAGCTAGCAGGACGAAGACAAACATGGGGGGGGGGGGGGGGGGGGGGGGGGGGGTTGGAGCATGTGCAACGAGGCAGTATTCATAGAGTAAAACCTACTAGTAGATAACAAATGAGTTTGTTAGCAGCAGTAGAAACAAGGGAAACTGAATGGCACCATTTAGATCCGCACGCGCTCGTCCTCAGAGTTGTCCTCATGAACTGGAACTGTGGTGGTCCAGGTTGGTACCCCACGCCTTTTCAAGGCGATGTTATGTGCGAGCTCTGAAAACGACATGACAAGCTCTTCACCGTGACGGTTAATAGATCTCATGTAAGCTCTTGTTGCAGAGCCCCAGTTTGCCTCCGAAAATGCAAGCAATGCACTGCTTTCCTTCCCAGTTGCCTTGTTGTGCTTGTGGGGGGTCTTTGCAGGCTTTCCATTGCCGTTCACATCTATGTCACCTAGAGTGATATTACCGTCTGCAAAAAGTCGTAGTGCACGTTCCATCTAAGGCAAAAAAAATTGGTAAATCACACAGAGATAGAATAAAATAAATATACCGCTGCCGTGGCAAGGCTGAGCGCACCCCTCACCTGCAGCACACATATGGTGTGCGAGGACTTGAACAATGAGGTCCAACTGATAGGGATTGAAGTAGGATCCGTCTTCAGTAATCTGATCATACAAGAAGCCGTATTTGTGAAGCAAACAAACTTAACACGAGATCCTGCTGGTCGGTGTCAGTCTTGATGTCGTCCTGTGAGGCTATGAAATTTGTGAGTACAACGAGTGCAATTGAGCTCATGCTATTGCGCCACTCCGACAAACACTGAAGAGCTTACAATAATTGGAATTAATAGCAATAGATAATATCAGACTCATACTCACTATGGCGAGAACAGGGCCGTCAACGGTGACAGCATGTGTGATGCGTCCTCCATAAACCGCCTCCCAAATTCACTGCAGCTTTGTGCAAAGAGTGTTCTCGTTGAGGTTCCAAAATTCATCTTCATCTCCGACACAGAGAATGACAGTCGGAATAACCTCCCCACTCCACTTGCTGAAGGCCTGGCAACCTTCTGGAAGGTGCCTCATGCGATACTGCGAACGGGGGAGGATGGTAACCTGTGTATTTACCATGGCATTTTTTGTGTTGACCGACAAACCACTCACGTCACTCATGGATGCTGTTGTGTCGATAGAGGAGTTACTTCCGTCATTGGCGATGGTGGACAGGTGGAGCTTGAGGCGCTTTGCAGCCGGTGCTTTCATCATGACAGCAATGTCTGTCTGTATACTCTGAGGTCAGTAGATTCTTATGTGCTAGTTAGCTATAACGTACTGAGGAAGTGACATGTTGCGTCAGCGGCTCAGACTTGATGACGGCCTTGAACTCATCAATGTTCTCCATAATTTTCACTTTGGATTCAGAGTTGAGGGGGTCCGTAACTTTGCGATGTAATTTAACTGCAGAGCGAGCAGGCGCTTGAGCCATGGGTACCTGGGTGGAGTGAGGAGGCATAAGGTCAGCGTTGTTGCCATCCACTTGATCCATAGCCTTGCGCTTTAAGTTGACCGCAGAGCAAGCAGGCGCTTGAGCCGTGGGTACCTGGGTGGAGTGGAGGTGTAAGATCCATATCATTGCTGTCTGCTTCGATGTCTGACTCGGAGGACGTGATGTTGTTTTCGATTTGGTCTCCAACATCTGCGACATCCATGCTGTCTACACCATCCGTATTGTCAAGTAAACTGGTGTTGACAGCAATCTGAATATGTCATAAAAAAAGTGAGTATATGACAAATCAAAAAGAACAAAAACCTACCAGAACACCCTTGCCTTTGCTAGTGCAAGCAAGAGCTGCTTCACGCTCGACAGAGTCGTCCATTGCGTTGTTGAATGGCCCTGAGGTGCCTGACATGACAATGTCATCACCAGGAAAAGGAGAATTGACAGGAGTTGGTGGGGGAGGGCAGCTACTGACAGTCGAGCCCCTTGAGACTATAGAGGGTGCGGTCGACAATGTTGCAATTGAAGACATAGTTTGCGGGACAAACGAAGAGGCTGAACTCGTGGACTTTGCATACTTAGACAACGGCTTGACTCCAGTGGCGGGAATGCCTGCGCCCCATCCTTGGATACGCCCAGCGAGTTGGAACTTCAGGTGAGCAGGCGTGGGGCTTGTAGCATCACAAGTGAGGTTGAAGAAGAAAATTGCCATTTCAGTGAAGTGTATTTTCATTGATGGGAAGAACAAAAGAAGAGACTTACACCGCATCGGTATTCCCATGAGAAATATGTGCCTGCACAGTTCCATCAACCGCATCAGAAACAGCCTCAATTGCATCACGAACAGCTGTCTTCAAGGCCTTCTTTAACTTCGACTTTGCAGGTGCAGGTATTTCTTCCTCCTCATCACTTGCAAGCTGAGCAACATCAGCAGCACACTTGCCCTTTGCCTGGCCCTCGTGCCCCTTTTGCACCCCTTTCACTACAATGCTGTCAGCTGCTGTGTTTCCTTCATTTGCAGCCTTTGATCCAGAGGCATCACTGATGTGCTTTACCTGGTGTGGACAAGGGCAAGGGCGTCTTGACTTAGGTGCGTCAGCATGTGCATTTTGCTGTGTGACTTGCATCTGCTCTTGAAGCACGGCAATGTGTTTGTAGCTGTCTTGAATGGCTGCAGCTTTTGCCTCCTTTGAATCCTTCTCGTGCTGGTCATCAGCAGCCTTCTCGGCCTTGGTGCGCCGTTTTACCGGGTTTTGCTCAGCTTGAGCCTCAAGAAGATGTAGACCGGGGCGCTGGGTTGCATTCTTAGCTCGGGTCTGCATACGCTGGGGCTCAGACATATTACTGTCAAAGTCAAGGAGGCAAGAGGTCTGAAGGATAGTGGGGGGTTGTGCAAGTGATGCAAAATAATGCAAAAAAAGGCAACAGATTTGTACACTGCCAGGGACTGAATCTGAATAACAGTCGACCCTTAGCACTGCCCTCAACTCGCTGCAAACGTCCAAAGCCCTCACACTGCACACACAGGTTGACGTGTTAGCTTTATGTTGTTGCCCTCGTTGTTCTCTCAATCTCAATGGTCCAGGTCACACCTCATACACACAGCGGGACTATAACGCGCTTTGCCTTCCATGCCTATATCCAACTTGTACACGATGGCTCCAAAATTGTTCCGGTCTCACTTAACACATGCATACTGCACATCCAGATTATCATCCTGCACCCTCTTGAAGGCAGGAACCTTGTCCCCCTGCTGAGCCCCCACCTCTTCCGGCTCCCACATCACGATCACATTCTCAATTCTCTCCACAGCCTGGCTCTCCGCTCCCCGTGGATGGGGACCAACACTCAGACCCAGAACACCCAGAAGTGGAGGTTCCCCAACGCGGCTCTCCACTGCCAATGGATGTGGATGAAAGCTCAGATGGCCTCGAAGCCGAGTTCACTGATGCGAGTGAGCATTTCTATCGTACATACCACCTGTATCTTAATGGTAAGCTCATTTTTGTCACTCATTTCTGTACTTCCTGACACTCATTACAGGACAACCATGCACAGCTGATGGTGTGATTCTCCCACCTGATAGCCCACCATTCCCAGCACCTGAAAAATCCCCAGATGACTGGACTCCGTACCGCAATAGGATTGAATTTGAGCTTGCTGAACTGCTATTCAAATGAAGCCATATGTCCACTGCAAATATGGACATCTTATCCGATTTATGGGCCGCAACGCTGGCCAAACATCACATCTTAATAAATCTAAGTGAAACTCAGCTGCTGCCCAAGAGGCTATAGAAACAACTTTATTATTTACCTATGTGAAACTACAATGGATGTTAATTTAAGGTGATCTCTAATAAATGTAATGTAACATACCTCAGCCACTGCCCAAGAGGCTATAGAAACGACTGAGGTATTCCTATACTAAACCCCCTACTACTTATAGTCGGAGGTGCTACTCGCTACAGTATAATGACTCCTAGGAGAACAATGGCTGCTTCGGCAGAGACCGGGTTTATCTGGTTTTGTCACTCCCACTCGAGTGCAACCGTAGTCCCATAGCTTTAGAGAATTTCCAGTGTTTTTCATGAGTGAGGGGTTTAGTGAGAATGTCTGCAACCATATCTCCTGTAGGAACGTATCTGATTACTGCCTCTCCCTTTGATACTAAGTCATCTTGGATAAAATGATATTTCCGTTGAATATGTTTTGTGCGAGCACGGAACTGTGGATCTCGTGTAAGAATGATAGCTGCTTGATTGTCACAGTGCAATGTTGTAGGTCCATTTTAAGCATGTCTAATTTCTTCAAAAAATGTCCGAAGCCATGCAAGGTGTTGTCCAGCATTGCTCAATCCAATGTACTCTGACTCCGTGGAGGATAAAGCTATCATGCTTTGCCTTTTGCTTGTCCAGGAGATTGCTCCTTGGATGGTGATAAAGACAAACCCTGATGTTGATTGAGACGTGTCTGGGTCTCCAGACCAATCTGCATCTGAATATCCATAGAAATCCATGTCCATGGAGACATCCGTGCCATCATATCATAGTTCCATGTCCCTGGTTGCTTTCAGATATCGGAGGACACATTTTGCAGCTTCCCAGTGATGGCTCCTTGGAGCTGAGCTATGCCTGCTTAGTATTCCAACAATGTAGGCAATGTCTGGGCGGGTTCCGAGCATGGCATACATGAGGGAGCCTACAATTGAGAGGTATGACACTTGACACCCTTCAATATGCATCTCGTGTTGCACAATATCTTCCCCTGGAGCATTTGCAAGGAGTTTTGATCCATGGGCCATTGGTGTCCATACTGGTTTGCAGTTCTTCATTCCAGTACGCTCCAGGACTGTGTCGATGTATTGGCGTTGCAATAGGGATATTGTCTTGTTTGAACGATCACGTTGGATTTCTATTCCGAGGATGTATTTTGCTTCTCCAAGGTCCCGCATTTTGAATATGGATTCGAGTTTGGCTTTTGTGATATCCATGAATTTCCAGGATGAAGCTCCTAGGAGGAGGTCATCTACGTAGACAACAACAAAGCATATTTGTTTGTTGTCGCGGGATACATAGAGACATGTTTCTGCATTTAGTCTTGTGAAACCGAGTTCCTGGAACTTGCAATCAAAAGTTTTGTTCCATGTACAACCAGCTTGTTTTAACCCGTAGATGGATTTCTTCAATCTCCAGCAGTATCCAGGTTGGATAAGAACACCCCCTGGAGGAAGCATGTACAGTTCTTCTTCAAGTTCTCCATTGAGATAAGCTGTGAATACATCCATTTGATCAAGTTCTAGGTTGTACTTTGCTGCCAGGGCTAGAATAATTTGGATTGACTCTAAGTTTGCAACCGGAGCAAAAACCTCCTGGTAATCAATCCCCTCCCTTTGAGTAAAACCTCGTGCAATAATCCGGAGTTTGTATCTCTCAATGTTTCCGTTTTGATCAAACTTGATCCGGAACACAGGTTTTGATGTGATGGGTTTTACTCCCTTCGGAAGTGGAACAGTGTCATATACTGCATTAGTATTGAGACTTAGGAGTTCCTCCTCCAAGGCAGACTTCCATAATTCTCCATCCGGACGTGATAAGGCTTCCTTTAGTGTCCTTGGAAGGTCTGTGTTAGATGGACCAGTACTTGCTATTCAAGCAAAGAATGTCTCCTCTGTATCAGATGTTTCTTCATGAACCTCAGGAGTGTTAGGTTTCTCCATGGAGTTGTCATGCTGCTCTTTTCGAGACTGTTCCTCATCTAGAGTCCTTTGATAATCTCGGTTTTTGTCTGCAGGACGGGTCTGGCGACTGCTTCTGCGTACTCCTAGGACTTCAGCAGGCATGACTGCTCTTTTAGGAACTTGTGCAGGTACTCCAGGGAGTAGACACATTTGTGTATTTGTTGCCCCACTCACTCCTGAAGGTGTTGAATCACTCCTCGGAGGTGTTGGATGACTCCTTGGAGGTGTTGTATGCCTTCCAGAAGCTGATCCAATGGACAGGCTGTCTAGCTGTATTCGGACTTTTTCCACATCAGCTGGCTGTATGTTGAGGGGCTGTCCTCCCACTGACTGTAACTCTACTTTGGCTTTCCGTTCTGAAGATGGCCAGTGTTCAGGTCTTGGTTGTAGAGACTGTTGTGGAGGGTGTCTAAGCTTATCAGGTGCTCCCACTGCTCTCGGAACGTCTCCGCGGAGGTATTGCCCCACTGCTCTCGGAACATCTTCATGCTGATATGGTTCCATTGCTTGTGGAACATCTCCTTGGAGATGTGGTTCCATTTGCAATTCATTTGGATCTCGGATCCGAGGGTCAGGATCATCCTCCTCCAATGTTTTTTGGTCTGGATAGTGAGCATTCTCTGGAATGAGTCCCTCCCACTGATCTGTGCTAGTGTCTGTGTTCCAGGGAGCAGTGTCATCCTTTTGTACCTTTCCGGATTCATTGAATATGATATGCCGACTGGAAAACACAGTCCGTTTTTCAGTGTCTAGGAGTTTGTAGGCTTGCTTTCCATGTGTGTAGCCAATCATTATGGCTTTGCGCCCCTTGGAGTAAAACTTCCCTTGCCTTTTGTCTTTCGGAATCAAGGCATATGCTTGGCATCCGAAAAGGCGAAACAAAGTTGGATCAACTCTCCTTTTAAACAGGATTTCATATGGGGTCTTTCCATGGAGTCCTGATGCTGGGCTGCGTGCTGTGATATATGCAGCTGTTTGCATGGCATCTACCCAAAATGACTTTGGGAGCTTGGAATCATGGAGCATAGTGGTTGCTAATGTAGCCAATGTCTGATTCATGTGTTCTGCAATGCCATTTTGTTCCAGAGTATCTGCAGCTGTAGTTTCTTGGATGACACCATCTCTTCGGAGTTGATTTTTGAATGCATTGCCAGTATATTCTCCTCCCCCATCGCTCCGGAGGAATTCTGTGTATAGTGGAGTGAAGTTTTCTTCTCCCAAATGAGTCCGGAAGAATGTTTGGACATCTTCTTTCCATTGCTTATATCATTCCAGTGCTTCACTTTTATGTTTTAGGAAATATATCCATGGAAATTTGGAGAAATCATCTACAATAATAATCCAGTACCAAAAACCCTCCCTGGAAGTTGGTTTGATTGGTCCTCCAACATCTGTGTGCACAATTTGTATGGGGTGCTTGGCTCAGTTTCCTCCAGTGGACTTGAAAGGTAATTTCTTCATCTTTCATAAAGCACAAGGTTCACAAAACTCCGGGGTTCCGGTAAGGGTGTCTATGTCCTGGAGCTGTCCTTTTGTAACCATTTGTTGCACATGGTCCATTCCAATGTATCCCATTCTTCTGTGCAATAAATTTACATCTACTGCTGCAAAAGCTGACTCCGGGTTGATTTCGGGTTTTGCTTGGATGTGATAAAGTCCTCGCTTGTGTAACGCAGTGAGGATAAGTTCCTCCTTTTTCCGAACTTCACAAGCATTTGACCCTGCTGGAAAAAGTGTTGATAACCCCGTTTTGGACAATTTGTGGACAGAGACGAGTGCTAACGTGAAATTTGGCACAAGTAAGACATTTGACAGTGCAATATTGTAGTCCTTTTGCCAACAGTTGCTTGTAGGATTACTGTTCCAATGCTAATGGCATTTACAGAGGATTCATCCCTAGAACTGATTGTCCTCGGAGGATGCAGAACATGGTATGTTCCTGGCTCAAACCAGGAGCGGTGAGGGACCATGTGGGATGTTGCTCCGGAGTCAATAATAATTGTTGTTTTGGTCTTATCAGGTTCCGACACAAGGTAAGCTTGAATGCGTTTAGCAAGGGGCTTGGAAATATGTACATGATCCAATGCAATATGACTCTGTTCCTCCTCGGAGTTAGATCAGGATGATTGCTCTGCCGTATTTGCCTTTTCTTTCTCTTTTCCTTTATCCTTGTATCTTTCCTTTTCCTTCTTCCTTTGACCTTTTTCAGCTGACTGAAGTGTTCGACACTCCGAGGTGTTGTGTGATTTGGCTTTGTGGAAGTCACACCACTTCTCATTGGATTTGAGTGCTGATTCGGAACCTCCAGGGGCCTTCCCTGACTGTCGTGCAACTTCTGCAGTGATCCGGATCTCAACTGCATCAAAGGTAAGTTTATTTTCTTTAATCGTGTTGATTACTGATGACTGAAATATTTTCCATTCAGGAGTGCATGGGAGAGATTGGAGAAGAGCGAAAGCCATGAGTTTGGTATCAACTCCTAGTTTCATTCCGGAGAGGTGTGAATCAATTGTCCAGATTTTTGCAATGTGGTCCTGGATAGGTGATGTCCCATCCCAAGACAATTTGGTGAGTTGCTGGAATGAATAGAAGGCCAAGGCAATGTTGGACGTTTGATGGAGTGAGACAAGTTTATCAAATAACTCCTTGGAGCTGGTGAGGTCTCCAGTCCTCAATAGGAGGGCATCAGAGATATGGTCCTGGATGTTTCCATGTGCCTTCTCATCCTTAAGTATCCAGGTGATCTCAGGATCCTCTGAGGAGGTAGGGTTTCCTGGTGAGGGCTTAAGCTCCTCTCCAGTAACAACCCGGAGAACTTTTTCCCGACATAGCTTTGAGATGATCCGGAGTTTCCATATCTGAAAATTGTTGGGTCCAGTGAGAACTGGACATGCAGATGTATCGTGTGCTGTGGTCATGGTTCCGAGGTTGCCGTTTCAAATAAGAATTATTTCCTGCGTAGTTTTTACGCACCAGGGCTCATAACCTAATAAAACTAAGTGAAACTCAGCCGCTGCCCAAGAGGCTATAGAAACGACTATATTATTTACCTATGTGAAACTACAATGGATGTTAGTTTAAGGTGATCTCTAATAAATGTAATGTAACATACCTCAGCCGCTGCCCAAGAGGCTATAGAAACGACTGAGGTATTCCTATACTAAACCCCCTACTACTTATAGTCGGAGGTGCTACTCGCTACAGTATAATGACTCCTAGGAGTACAATTGTGCTCCTAGGAGAACAATGGTTACTCCATGGAATGGTGGCTATGCTCCATGGAGAACAATGGCTGCTTTGGCAGAGACCTGGTTTATTCGGTTTTGTCACGTCTCCCCTCCATTTTCCAATCACCGTGACTTTTACAAAGTCATTGATCGCACACCACTCGGCGATGTGGCCTGGGAAAGCTTCTTGGTCAAATATACAGGAGAGCGCCCTAATACCAATGTTCCACCGTGGATGACCGATGATTTTGAGGTCTGGTTCAGGGACCCTCACAAGGTTGTCCGGAACATGCTGTCAAATCCCGATTACAATGGTGAGATTGACCTCACACCTTTTCGAGAGTATGATGCATCCACCAACAAGTGTCAGTGGGAGCACTTCATGTCCGGAGATTGGTCTTGGCAACAAGCGGTGAGAATTCCCTCTTTTTCCATGAGTTTAACTGAACATAAACAGCACAAAATCTCAAATGATCCAGAAATGCATGGATCTACCTTCATCCCTGTGATTCTTGGTAGTGATAAGACAATGGTTTCAGTGGCAACGGGCAACAATGAATATTACCCACTCTATGTATCAATCGGTAACATGCATAACAACGTACGTCGAGCGCACCATGACGCTGTTGCCGTGATTGGCTTCCTTGCTATTCTCAAAAGTATGTTTATTCTACTTGGTATCTAGAACAGTTGCTGACATTAACACTTAGCTTCTCGAGAGTACGCCGGTGACGACAATTTTCGAACATTTCGGCGCAGGTTATTTCACACTTCTTTATCTACAATCCTGCAAACTCTGAAGCCAGCTATGACAAAACCTAAGACCATACACTTTGGGGATGGGCACTTCCGGCGTGTTATATATGGACTGGGACCTTATATAGCTGACTATGAAGAGCAAGTGGTACTTGCGTGTATAGTACGTAATTGGTGCCCAAAGTAAGATTTGTTTCCTATTACTTCAACTCACAGGCTCACCAAATTTGCAGATGCCTTGCACTTTGCACAGACCTCAACAAAGCCAGCTTGTACCGCTGCCGCGAGCATACAGACATGCTCACCAAAGAATTGGACTCTGCAACATTATGGGATGAATACGGAATTATCGGCAACCTTGTCGTAAGTTGTTATCATCATTTGTTTCAATTACATGCATCCACTAACATATACATATATTCAGCCATTTACCAACGACTTTCCTCGCGCCGATATTCACACACTCTTGTCACCCAATCTGCTCCCTCAAATCATCAAAGGCACGTTCAAGGATCACCTTGTTGACTGGGTCGAACAATATCTCAAGATCACCCATGGAGCCAAACGAGCTGCAGAGATCATGGGTGACATAGACCGAAGGTACATTGATCTCACTTACATATTTGGCGGTATATCTGATTTTTGTCAAGAATTGCCGCTGTTGCATCATTTTTGAATATATGGCGATTTCCTCAAGGCCGTGGTTTCAAACAGTGGACAGGGGACAATTCCAAAGCACTGATGGAGGTATGTATTTGTTTGGGGCATCATATTACTCTGCTGATAATGTTTTACACCGCTATTGAAGGTTATGTTGCCCCCAACATTGTCCGCACATTTTGTGCATTTTTGGAATTCCGTTACCTCGTCTGTCGCAATGTCATTACAGAAGATACACTGGACAAAATACAGGGCGCCCTCAACCGCTTTCACCATTATCGCAAAATTTTCGAAACAACAGGCGTTGTTTTTACCTTCTCGCTTCCCCGACAATACTCCATGACTCACTATCAATTTCTTATCCGACTCTTTGGCACACCAAATGGCCTGTGCTTGTCAATCACTGAGGCCAAGCATATCAAAGCAGTCAAACAGCCATGGCGCTGGTCAAGCAAGAATGCCCCACTCAGGCAAATGCTTTTGTCCAACCAGCGCCTGGATAAGCTTGCAGCATCCCGCATGGATTTCACAGAGCGAAGAATGCTACACGGCACTTGCCTATCAGGTGCTCTAACAGCTTTGGGTGAGTGGTTTTCCATCAATATTTCTTGTTGTAAATCTGACTGTTGCATGCAGCTACCGAACGCGAAAATGAGCCACACGAGAACCTGCAGCACCAATTGAACCCCGCTATTTTCATGTCACGATCAGGGGACGACTTCGAGGCCGGCGAGGTTATACAAGGGCCAAGGACACTTGCTGATGTTTGGCTTACGAAGACTTACCATGAGTACTAGCTTTTACCAAGGAACCCCTGCCCATACCCACGGTCCCACCACAGAAGCAAAGCATGCACGAACAGTACCAGCACTGGCAGAAGAAATTGGTGTTCTCCACCTGCGGCATCTTGTCCGATGGTTCCTATTTGTGCAGCTGTACCCCAACGATCCCCGTAACCCTGAGGATGTCCCTGCTGCTTTATGTCCCCGCCATGAAGGCAAAGTATATGTTTTCAATTCGGCCGCAGCAACATTCTATGCTCCCAGCAACCCGAGCGGTATTGGTGGCATGCGACGTGAGCACATCCGTGCCTGCCCTCTCTGGCGCTACACATACAAACGCAATGATTGTGTGTTTATCAGCACCAACCCGGACCTTGAAGGTATGCAAGGGCTCTATATTGCTCGAGTCCTGTGTTTTTTTTCATTCAAATACCAGCAAGTTCATTACCCCTGCGCTGTGATCCACTGGTTTGACAAGATCGGCAATGCAGCAGACGAGGACACCGGGATGTGGATGGTATGCCCAGGGCACTGCAAAGACGGCTTGCGCAATCTCGCTGTCATTCACGTCAACACCATCTACCGTGCCGCCCATCTAATTCCTATCTACGGCACTGACTGCATTCCCGATTCTCTCAAGTACTACCATTCCTATGATGCTTTCCGTGCCTTCTATGTCAACAAATATGCTGACCACCACGCATTCGAGATAGCTTTTTGATTTTTTTTTGTACTTTACGGAGGATATAGTACATTCACTACTGTGTTCAAAATATACATGTGATACCCGTGCACTTTCACGCTTTTTCACCCTTGCGCTGTACTTGCAAACCCTGCAAGAACATCTTTTCCTTGTCAACTTCTGACAATAAGGAGCAAGAAAGAAAAGTACCAATTAAGTCACATTAAGGACAGTCGGGTTTCCGGCAAGCATGGAAAGGGCCGGTAAGTAATTTGGGACTTTACTGATGTAGGAGAAGTAAAATGGCTATTGGGTATTGACATACAACAAGACAGAAAGTCACGCACCATCTCTCTTGGCCAAAAAGCCTTCATCGAATCTATACTTGCTCGTTTTAACCTACAATCACCTACCAATACAAACGACAGTCAAGAGATGACGACCATACCTTACAGACAGGCAATTGGTTCACTTATGTACCCATCTCAGTGTACTCATCCCGACATCTCCTTTGCAATTTCAAGCCTCTCTTGTTTTCTTGAAAATCCTGGACAAGCTCACTGGTCAGCCGCAAAATGAGTATTCAAGTATCTCAAAACAACAAGAGACCTACACTTAGTAATAGGCTCAACCAATGAGGACCTTGTTGGATACACTGATGCAGATTTCGCCTCTCACCTCCATAGACACTCCATCTCCGGCTACGTTTTCAGAATCAATGGAGGCGTGGTATCATGAAACTCAAAAATGCAACCACTGGTTGCACTGTCCACTACTGAGGCCGAGTACATATTCATCTCACATGCAACCAAAGAAGCCATGTGGCTGCAAAACATATGGGCTGAAATCACAGCCACATCAAAACCATCAAAAATAACTTTATATAATGACAACAAAAGTGCCATTGAACTCGCAAGGAACAATGTCTACCATGCACAAACCAAGCACATAGACACACATTTTCACTTTGTACAAGAAGCCATTGAACACAACAAGATCAACCTACTATATTGTCCTACAAATGACATGCCAGCTGATTGTCTCACTAAACCTCTCTCTCGTTCGAAACTAGAATATTTTGTCAAGCTCATGGGGCTGATTTTGGTTTGAGGGGGTGTGTTAGCATTATACATTCACATTTCTTATATCTTTCTTTCTACCTATGTTTGCAGACTTCATTCTATCCTGTCCGCTTTTCTAGAATTACCTAATGCATAATTTTCCCACAATTACACCAAAAACCCGTAGATTTCCATTCTAGAGCCTCAGTCTTTTACACACAGACTGAGGTATGTTATTTCATTATAGTCACAACAATATTTACTTACATCTATCACAGCATTTAACATTATTCTTACAGGTAGATATCAATACAGTCTTTAACACACAGACTGAGCATTTAACATTATCCTTACAGAGTATATATCAGTTATCAGCTTATTGTTTGGATCAGTTTGTATGAGGAAGAGGGAGAAAGAGATGACAAAACCGGATAAACCAGGTCTCTGCCAAAGCAGCCATTGTTCTCCATGGAGTCACCATTGTTATCCTAGGAGTCATTATACTGTAGCAAGTAGCACCTCCGACTATAAGTAGTAGGGGGCTTAGTATAGAAATTCCTCAGTCGTTTCTATAGCCTCTTGGGCAGCGGCTGAGGTATGTTATATTACATTTATTAGAGATCACCTTAAACTAACATCCATTGTAGTTTCACATAGTTTTATTAAGAGACTTGACAAAAGAGTTATATGATTGATCTCAAAGCCCTTGTATGCCTAGCTTGATATGACAACCAGTCACCAGACATATACATGTCCCGGTTGTGCCAATAAATGATAATTTACCAAAGCCTGGCAGATAATAGCTGAGACAAATGTGATTTTTGATGTGTTACAATTGACGTACCAGTACCTACTGTTACGATAACACAATTTTCGGACCTTTCCTTTAATTTTCATTCTCCGCCTTAACCTTTTACTATAGTTCATGCCAATGGTATCGAGGATGATAACAAAGGTGTTACCCTGATAGACCAATCAAGGGTTGCCAATGTTAGAATTGGGCAGGATTTGGATCTTCTGGAAGTCTTCAAGAAAGACATCTCCTCAGAAGAGAAGGCGCGCCTAGACAGCAATGAAAACTATCTATGGAAAGACGGGCTCTTTCATTTTAAAAACAAAATCTATGTGCCTGAATCCGCAAGGATCAAGGCAATAGACAGACATCATGACACTCCAGTGGCTGGGCACCCTGGGTGGCAACGAACGATGGAGTTGATCTCCAGAAACTACATGTGGCCTGGGATGGTCAAAGATGTACAGGAATACATAAAATCCTGTCTGAGATGTGCTATGGCTAAGGATTCTCATCAACCACCAGCCAGTAAACTTATGCCAAATCCGATACCAGCTGGTCCCTGGCAGGATATATTGGTTGATTTCACAATGGATCTACCCGAGTCAAATGGGTATGATTCAGTAATAGTGGTAGTAGATCACTTTTCCAAAGAAGTAGTATTCATTCCCACCAACAAAACTATAACTGCCGCTGGTACGGTAGATTTATTCAAAGATTTTGTATGGTCTATCCATGGGTTACCAGAAACGGTTATCTCCAATAGAGGGCCACAATTCACTAGCAAATTTACGAAAGAATTATGCCAGATGCTGGGCATCAAACCTAAATTATCAACGGTGTTCCATCCGCAGACTGATGGACAAACAGAGAGACTCAACCAGGAGTTGAAACAATATCTCCGGATATTTATTAATGACAGGCAGATGGATTGGGCCAAGTGGCTAAAGATAGCCCAGTTCTCTTATAATATCAAACAGTTGTCGGCTACGGGAAAGGCACCATTTGAGGTTACTAGGATTGTACCTCCCCAGAATGGGTGTAGAACCTGGCAAAAGCAAGAACAAGGCGGCTGAGAACATGGCCAAAGACATGAAATCTGCCTTGGACGAAATGTGCAAGATGCTATTCAAAACTGCAGAGCAGATGAAAAACAGGGCAGAGCGTAGACACTCTAAGGCCAATACAAGGTCGGCGACCTAGTCTGGTTAGATACTGACCACTTAAAGTTAAAAGATAGGCAGTCTAGAAAACTGACCAAAAAGTGGATTGGTAGTGGATTGGTCCTTACCGGATTAAGGCAGTCAAACCTAATGCGGTGGAGCTGGAACTCCCAAAACGAATGAAGGTAGTACCCACGGTCAATATTTGCCATGTGAAACCTTACAAAGGGCCGCTGCCGGGACAGCGCGTAGACCGGCCCGGACCGGTTGTAGTCACCCAGGAAGGTGAAGAAGAGTTCAAAGTTGAACGGGTGATGGACGCACACTTGAAGCATGGAAAACTAGAATTCCTAGTCCTATGGAAGGGATATGGAGACAAGGACAGAATGTGGGAACCAGAAGCCCATCTAGACAATTCCCGCGACGCTGTTCACAAATTTTATTCTAAGAATCCCTCAGCTCCTAGGAAGCTTAGAGGCATTGATTCAAAACTTTTAAATTCTCTTTTTCAAACTATGCCCAAAAATTTAACTACCACCTCCGGTATTTGGTCTCGCCTGGAAGTTGAGCCTTAGAAGGGGGTAGTGTTACGATAACACAATTTTCGGACCTTTCCTTTAATTTTCATTCTCCGCTTTAACCTTTTACTATAGTTCACACTCTGTGCCATGCGGCACTTTCCTTTTTGTTTCTAACTCCACTTTCTCGCGCAACACTGCCTTTATTCTTCTTTTAGACACAAAATCTCTCACGCAGTGGAGCTAATCACACCACTGCTTTTATCAACTATACAGTATGTAGGTACAAACACTCTGTATTAGTATAAATACCCCAATAGATCAAGGAGACTCCTCAGCGAGTCCTCCTGTTGTATACCAACAAACTCTCTGCAGCTTAAGGGGTAACCACTCCCTCATCACTACCTTTATAGTGTGTTCCTGTGTGCACCAGAGTAACTAACTCTTGGTTGTTACACCTACTTACACTTCACCTTTTTCGTACTTTTACTTTTATTTTTCCAAGTCACATGACCAGTCATGTGACCATTTACTTTACTTTACACCACGGGCATGAAAGGGTTCCAGCCAAGCTGGGAGAGGTATGATTTGTACACAAACAGCATAATTTCAGCCACCTCTGGAATACTTCAAATATTATAAATATATACTTTGTGATAGATTAACTAAAATTTTACCAATATTTTGACAAATTGCTGTGAGGGTTTGTGCCCAATTTGAGGCTGACATGTTGCTGATTTTTTATAAACTAGGTTTGTATTGGCTGAGCTGCTGACTTTTCAAAGAACTAGCAATGTGTGAGGCACGAACG